TATATATACATATTATTATCAATTCAAATATATATATACAGGGCCATTTTAATCCATCCACGCAAATAACTCCAAAGGTATAGGTGATAGCGAAAAATAACGTACAAAAGTTGTAGGGTTCAAAGGGAGCCAACCATTGATGACCTTGAATTTGACCTCGAATCGATTTTCAAAGTCATTTTAAGATTAACAAGTGTTTTTTCAATGGAAACCCGTATTTTTCATCCCGGATTTGGAAAGAGCACATAGGGGACATATATATATATATATATGGTATATGTGTGCATATCAAATATATATATCAAATATATATATATATATATGTGAAGAATTTTGCAACTTAAAGATAAAAAATTCTTATCTGAAAAAGAAGAGGAAGATATCAAAAGACAATAAAAAGGTCAAACTAACAGTAATAACAATATGGCGATAAGTTTTTAAAAGGGAAAAGAAATAAAAAAGAAAGAAAGAAGAGAAGTAATAATACTTTGGAAATTACGATTAAGATATCGCAGTGTAAAACAAAAAGGCTTTCTTAAAAATAGAAATTTTCAATCAGTACTTTTAAAGTCTCCATTTCGTATAAAGTAACGGTGTAAAAAGAATTGATCATGTTATTCAATTATATATTTGCGACAGAGTTACAGAAAAAGATCCTACCGCTGTTAAGAAGCATACAATTTTAACGTAACCGCTATGTATACTTTACAAAGCACTTCATTCATATAAGCCGCAGATAAATGCAGAATTTATGTACCGAAACAAGACGCACAATAGTTTCGCGATCTCTTCCTCCCGAGTATTTTACATTTCACCATTTAATTTCCATTAAAACAAACTCCGTGACATCGCTCTTATCGGCCGGTGGTTATCAGAGAAATGTAAAGCTTGATCATGTTTGCCCGCACAATGTATATGATCGCCTTTACCGCTTTAATTACGAAAATAGCTCGATCTCGCAGATAGCGGCAGCGTTGTTTCGCATTTCCGCGTATATGGTAACATTGGTAACGCTTTATAAACAAGCAGCTCGAGATAGCGCGAAGTAACATATGGGTGTAGTCTAAAAAAAAGCTGCAGCTATGTATGTAATACAATTACGTACGCGTCGGGAATTAAAAGTACACAAGTCGCAGCGATTACGCATTGTGAAATTATTATACTGACTTCTCAAAAGCGGCCAATATAGTCACCGATTGGGAATCTATTTAAAATAAAATGTGGTAGCTGATGATAATCGAGAATCATACGTGTTGATGCCAGCCGATACTGCAGAACAGATAATTTCAATATTGATCGTAAATTCTGTGGTCATCGAGAGGCAGTCAATAAATTGCATGTAGTCATATATGTATGGTAATTGCGTAATGTATGAATGTGTAATTGAAGTTAGTGTAACTCGAAATTAAGACATATCTGCATAACAAGTAATTATAGCAAAGCTACATTAATTTTTTTAAAAAACAAATTTGATATTGATACGTATGTTTTATCGAAGAATTGTAAAAAAAAAGAATATAAGTGTATACAACTATGTAGCCAGTACTATTTAGATCTGTACAAAGTGAAAGAATCTTAACACAGATAAAACATATTTGCTGCAAAATAATGCATTGTCATTTATTATAGGTACTGTACCTTGCGGCTGAAACAATAATGTATCGAATATATCAAAAGTATACCCACGAGCAATCACATATTATGAAACTGACGTAACGATCACGATTTCGTAAGAGCGTAGCTAGAAAGCGTTGCAGAGCCTGCGGAATGCGCTTATCTATTTTTCCTTCTAAGACTAAAGAACTTCTACGAACTTGAATGTACATTTCACCCGACCGGCGGGCTTACATCTTTCCAGAGCGGAATAAATCAAAGCCATGCGCTAATCACAAATACAATTGCTGACATCGCGAACATTTATCTTCGCATCGTTAATTATTATGTGTTCGATTTGACGCAGTCATGTGTGAGAATCCGAAAGAAAACAATAGCTGTCCATTAAATATCCAGGAATTTGACTTCTCAGAATTAACACAGCTGGTTTGAATGCATAAGTCATTTTAATCTAAAATAAAAATCAAAATTTTATGTAATTTTAAAGACGTAACATTTATTATGACAGAGGATGAAATAGTTTCACTCATAATTAGTTATTGTAATTATTACAATTAACTCTTTTTTTTATGATTAACATTCTTTTTCTTTAATTAAAGATACATATCTTAGAATACTGTATTTCAATTTTTTAACTGAATCAATAATTCGTGTTTTTATTTATTTAAATTTGGAAGAATTCATTCTTTCAAAATTACACACGCAACTGACATATTTTAATTAAAATTACGTGTAGTTATAAAACTGTATTATGGAAAAAATAGTTTCTTACAAAAATATCTTATTTGCTGAATGTTTGAGTAAAACACTATCTTGATATTTGATTTGTATGTTTTTCGCTTATGTATTTAACTTGTGAATGTGTAAAACGTAACCACGAGAACGTAAAACACAGCGTGCCACGCATGGCAACGTGTGTGTGCGAACATTCCATTGTATCGTATGAATGAACCACTCCGCCCGGGAATACATTTCGACTCATCGATCGACATCCAAACTGTTCTCAGCACGGCATCGAAGCGCAAATATAATTCCGGCATCTGTCAGTTGATGAAAAATGCGAATCACGCGCTCTAAATTATGTATATAATTTTGAAATATTATTTTACTTTAAGTCAAAATTTTATTTTTTAAATATATACATATGTATTTTTTATATCTATAATGTAATGTAGATATGATGTGTATCAAGAGACGCAGTAGGAGACATAGTAGTGGCCATGTTCAAAAACTGAAAGACACTACAAGTCTCTTATTCCGAGCCACCAAAGTTCATTTTTGGGGTATTTACAAGTATTTACAAACAAATAAATGGATCGATAGACGGATAATTTACCTAAAAATAATTTATCTAGAAATAAAGATTCTATACGTTTTCTTCAAGAAATTAATATTATATAATAAAAAGAAAAACTAGTAATAATAACAAATTAACTACAACAAATTACAAAGTAAATATTAAATTAAATATATATAATACGCCGCCATATATATATAAGATAGATATAAAATACAACAAAGATAAAAAAAAGTATAGAAAGAAGAGAAAAAAGTAAAGAGAAAAGAAAAAGTGACAGAAAAACAAATCTAGATCTAAATATTGTACAAGATCGTATCATAAAATTCCCAAAATTATATTAAAAATGTATTTAGACCAAACTTTGCTATCGTCTTGTATATAATATGAGGCTATATTCGATTATTCAGTGTGAATACCGAAAATCTATATATTCGTATACGTCACATGAACTATAGATTTTCAATACTTGAAGTGAATAATAGAACGTAGCCATACATAATAAATATAATATATATGCTTTCTATTATTATTGTTAATATATATAAATTATTTTCTATTATATTTATTTATATATTTATTTTCTTATATATTATATTTATTTATACATCCTTGTGATTGTCTTTGATAAAGTTTTTCAAAGTTTCTCTTTTTCAATCTTTTTTCCTTTTTTTTCCTTCAAAATTACTTAAATTAATACTAAGTTATGTGTACGAGTATATCACATAAAAAGAAATTGTAAAAAATTTTCACCAATATCCGCGTTGGCTCATCACAGCTAGTTTCTTTTCTTTCTCAAATTTCGTTTCCTTCCCTCTTTCGATACGCATTCCAATTAAACAAATTGCTGCAGGAGGCATTCCTCATAAATCTCGTTCTGATGGTTCTGCACATAGATATAATAAGTATAGACATTTTCTATTTTAGACAATGTATATTATTTTATATACTCAACAAGTTTATTTTCTCTCATTTCGCATTTTTATATCAAAAAAGAAGACAATTCTATCAAAGGTTCTTTCCTCTATTAAAAATAGAACATCATACAAATATACTATATGAATGTACCACACTAGAATGAAACGTTTGTACTTATTATATTTACAATGTTACAGAACGTTGTTTCATTATTTAGGCTACGTTCCGAAAAGTTCTTTCCGGAGAAAAATTTACGAAATATATAGTATACGTCTATCCGATTCCATGACATTGAACAGAATCGTCCTCCTCTCTTTAAAGAATTAATGAATTAGCATATTAAATTAAACATCTTTCACTCTGTAATATAACTTAATTAAATCTGTAAAAAATAAATTGTAATAGTGAAATATATTAAAATTTTTCAATTTTTTTATCCTTGTTCTTCATCGAATATTAGCTAAATATCATAGAAAGCTAAAATGATATACATCATGCGCATAATGCGTGAAACGGAACGCAGCCTATATGTGTGAACTGTGAATACAATGTGAAAAAAGGTGTCGTGATTAAGTGATTAAAAGAGCCAATCAGACCATATATACATGTAATATATACATATATATCCCTTTAATGTCGCATCTCTTTTCTATAGCTCTAGTTACGACTAAAACTTTTACGTGGCTAGAAAGTAAAGATAAAGTAACTAGTGAAATCGTTTACCATTACCCCAAAAATGTAGCTGCGTTACCATGAACGTTACAAATAACGCGTTACTTGCCAACCCTGCCTATAATATATTACATATATCAAGAGTTTCCTCGGAGAGAATATTTTGGAATGTAGCTTTAGAAGCCAAAAATGATGTACACAGGATGTAGAGATGTAAGTACTATTCTATTCCTTGTCAAAAATTAAGTATTTATTTCAGGAAATGCATTGTTCTCAAGAAATTTTATTTTTTAATATGTATATTAAATATAATATCTTAAAAATGCGTTTTCAGAAAATTTATCAAAGAAAAAGGTGCTTATTTTTTATAATGAAAACAATATATCGTTCTACTCTACCTACTTGAAATATTTTATATATCATACTTGTGTCATTTATTGTTTACGTTATTGTTTTATAACGTAAATCAATAAAACTACATACGATTACTACATTAAAAATTAGTTTCCTCGCGTTTTAAGAAATTGTATAAAATAATAAATAAATAAATATATTGGTTTTTATATAAAGAAAATAAAATGTGAAATTAACAACTATTTATACAATAATTGAGTAAATATTTTTTATGCTGAAAATAAGTGTTATCAAAAAAGTGGAACTATAAATTAAACAATATTAGCATGTTAATTCTTAGCGTTTGCTTAAATTTCGAAAGTTATATGTATTGAGCAATATAATCGGATAACGCGCAACATTGAAAGCTTGATTAATAACACCGCTTAGAATCAATTACGGTGAATTTATCATTTTCAACCGGAAAGTCGGATCTGGAGTACCCATCCGCTTTTTCTGTCCGACCAACGGCGCTTTGCATATCATTGTGTACGACGTGCGTACACGAAGAAATATTCCACACCCGCAAAAAAGCGCGCGATCTGCATATGTCGTTAGGAATGATCGATGAACCTGGTGGATAAAGCCTGGATAGCCATCATTAACGCAGCCGCTTTTTGCGCGTACATACGAGTGAGTACGCTTGCAATGACAATGCCGCGATTCTCCTTGTGGAATTTTTGTACGATTTATCGGTCGCCTGGCGAAAATCAACGGATCAGTCGCGTAAGAAGTAACGAAATCGGCGAATGAGCACCGCGATAAAGTCATTTGCAATTTAATTCTTCATACATTATTTATCACCCTTAATGATCGTCGTCGTTTCTCTTACACTTTTCAGAAATAATCTGTTTTCGCGATTCAACTTTGACAATGGTAGCATAAAAACAAATAGACAAATACATTGAACGAATTAATTTGTTTTCAAGTCCGTATTCTCTTGTCGCAGAATTAAACAAATATTTATATTCTTTTAGATATTTTATCATTTGTAAGAGAGGCTTCATTATAACTTCTTTTAAATATTTTAAATATTTATTATCTTTATACACTGTTAACTGTTCTTTGTAGTTACTTGTATTTTTTATCTTTCTGTAAATTCATTTAAGTTATCTATACGTGTTCATTATCTCATAAATCACTTCTACACATTCATTCCATTCCATTTTGCACTTTAATTTATATAAATGCATTAAGGAAAAATCTAACAATTTTTTTTTCACAAAAATATGCATGCAATATCAATGAATCACAAAGCTTCCATAAATCAGCGATTATTTTGTACAATTTAATGTTTAATTTTCTATAAGTTAACAATTAACATTGTAAACTATTGTCAACGGTAACTTTCAATGATTTGGTGTTATAAGTAAACAAAGCTAAGTCTCCGTCTTTCCATCGTCCGCACGTACGAATTGCATACTGAATTTCACGCGACGCAATAATCACCTGTTTTATTAACGCACCGAGCATGATTACGTTGGTGAGACGAGCCACCCGGGCCAATAATTGAATGGCGATCGGTCAGATAACATAATAATAAGTCAACTATCATCACACCAACGTCATCATCGCTAACAACAGTAACAATACTGTCATTACCATCGCGAACGGTGCCAGTGGCCAGATGACTTTCACCTTCCAGCGTGTGCATGCATCGTTGCACTGGAACGAATGCGGCCATACGTCTGTGTAACGATCAGAGTACGTAAGTGTGTGGTAATTTCGGGAGATAATAGCGTCCCGGTTAATTGGAGCCTTTCGTGTACGGATGCGCGTTGATTGAATATCGACGAAGAGATCGTAGTAATTATCCTGAGAATTTCATTGCGCAAGATTGACTGCGGGAATACATTGGAATAATAAGAGAAAGATTTCTCATATAATGAAAGAAATCATAGCGAAAGAAACTTAAGAAGTTATTTGACGTGGATTCGGAGGAGAATTATCGAAAAATATTAGATTCTATTTATTTACAAAATTAAAAAAATTAAATCTTTAAAAACTGAATAACAACCGATATATGTATACGTAATAATATTTATTTTAAAAAGTAAAAAACGGTTAACGTATATGAGAGATCCAATTTTTTTATATATGTATATTCACCCGTGTGAATTACTAACTTAATATTAATTTCTGTGTTATGCTTAAGCGCGGTTCCACCAATGTAAAGTTAACTTTAAATATATTTTAAGAATTAAAATTAACATTTAATATTAATAATAAAATAATATAAAAATTATATTTAAAAAAGTTAAAATGAAAAATTAATAAAATTAATATAAAAAAATATCATCCAAAAAATTTAATAAACTTTAACAGTGAATGGAAACCTTTTAAGTTTTATAAAAAAATTCTCTTTTATTTACGTTGTTATATTAATTGCACATTTGGAAAGAGCAATCGGGAGACGTTCAATCCACACCTAAATTTTCTGGTTTAACGTATTTATTATAATTTTCGTAGTTAACATGTTTGACTGTTGTAATTTTAAACTAAATGTGGCGTCTCTCGACCGCTCTTTCCAGTATTAATTTTTTTATTGAATTTATTATAATAATTTTAAAACAATAATTTTTAGAAGGGCATTTATCACCACATCATCATCATATTTTAAAATTGGCGTGTCACGCTTTTTTAAAGCCTCTTTTCGTTGAGGCTGCTGGAATTCTCTGATTTTGATGTGGTTTCGTATTCGGGGATCTTCGGGGTCGATTATTTCGAATCAAAAATTGAAAATTCGAAATAGTGGATCCAATATGGCGGACGTAAAATTAACGTAAATCCTAAAGATTATTCGATTTTGGTGAAATTAGATATATTGGTGATTTAGGGGGTGTTCGTTACGAATCCGTTCTCAAAAATTGAAAGTTCGAAATAGTTGATCCAATATGACAGACGGAAAGGTAACGGAAATCATAAAGATTGTTCAATTTTGGTGAAATTAGGTTTATTGGTGATTTAGGGGGCGTTCGATACGAATCTTTATTCAAAAATTGAAAGTTTGAAATAGTTGATCCAATATGACAGACAGAAATGTTACGGAAATCCTTAAGATTCTTCGATTTTGTTGAAATTTGGTTACAGGTGGTTTTTGGGGACGTTCGTTACGAATCCGTATTTAAAAATTGAAAGTTCAAAATGGCGTTTCGATTCAGTTTTCTAAAATCTGTTTTCGTTAATCTGGTGGATGGAATATAAGGGGGATTTTGGTTTTACTGTTTTTGAAGTAGAATTTAAATTAGCAAAAAAAAGCCCTTCAAGAATATGTACTTGATTTTTCATTTGCTGCTATTTTTCTTTGTGGCTGTGCCAACTTTAGTCTTAAGTCAGCACAGCCACACTATGGATCGAATCCTTCGACGTAAACGATGAGCAAAATATCGGATTCTGAATATTCTTAGAGCACATAATTCTAGAAACATTTTGAGACCAAAATGATCCCGGTAATTGATTGCCTTAATGTACTTTCCTCTTGTACGCGAGTCAGCACACCCACACTGCGGGTCGAATTTTTCGACGTAAACGGTGAGCAAAATATCGGATTCTGAATATTCTTAGAGCACATAATTCTAGAAACATTTTGAGACCAAAATGATCCCGGTAATTGATTGCCTTAATGTACTTTCCTCTTGTACGCGAGTCAGCACACCCACACTGCGGGTCGAATTTTTCGACGTAAACGGTGAGCAAAATATCGGATTCTGAATATTCTTAGAGCACATAATTCTAGAAACATTTTGAGACCAAAATGATCCCGGTAATTGATTGCCTTAATGTACTTTCCTCTTGTACGCGAGTCAGCACACCCACACTGCGGGTCGAATTTTTCGACGTAAACGATGAGCAAAATATCGGATTCTGGATATTCTTAGAGCAAATAATTCTAGAAACATTTTG